TTTAAAATATATCGAATTTTATCATTGTGGCATTCTGAGGAAATGGCATAAATAAATTGAGTTCTAGCTGAAGTTTCTTCTTGAGCCTTATGTATGAAAAACGCGCGAACCACTTTTGGGACTGCAAGTAGAACCGAACAATAATGAAATGTGTGCTTAGGCTTCGGTTACCCTACGTCACTTTCTAAAAACAAATCGAACCTCAAAATGCGGTTAGTGGCAGTCGAACAAAATTTCTGAGAACTACAATCGGCAACGAAAAAGACGATGACTTAAAGCCATTAATAGCGTTAATATTTCTAAAAGCTATTGTTGTATATCAGGACTACACATGCCTACAATTATTGCCATCCTAATAATTTTTGAACGTAGTACATATAAAAATTCCAAGCACTATCCAATTATGTTTTTACCTAAGAGCCGCTTACTAGAAAATTGATGGTCTTAGATGATCTCTTGGGTTGATAGTTCGAATCGACCTCTTGAGCAGATATTTTTCTACATTATATTTGCTTATGATGGCAAATAAAGAATACTAATGCCTTCTTTAAAGAAATAAATAAGAGTTCTTGTCCAATTTGAAGATAAGAAGAAGAGGGGTTTGAAGAAAAAAAGCACGAACCCGGTCCGATTTGGAGCTACTAGGAGATATTGCTAGAAAGATCGTGGCGATAAAGTGGACTTTGTCGAAATCGCAGTTTATAGAACTACCGGCCCTGTAGTCTATAGTCTACAGTGATTTTATAAAAATTAGTTGCCGTTTCGAATATTTTCCTCGTTGAAACAAGAAAAAGTATTTTAATTATAAATAGAGCTTCTTATAATTTCGCTTAATAAAATATATTTCTTCCTTGAATTTATAAAATTTCATATTTCCACTGTACTTTAATAACCGAGCAAATAGCAATTTCTTATTATCTTCTCTGCTTCCCCACTCGACGTTTCCTTAAAAGCTTTTCGCTCTACGCCCAAAAGCACACCACATAAGTGTAACATATATTGCTGCTTAATCCTTTGGCGCCCTTTTGTGTTCGCCCATACTTATATATCTAACACATATGTCCTGTGCCAATTCCCGTTACATGTGCCATTATTTCACCATAAAATGTTGCATACTTTCTGGGAAGAAAATGAAAATCAAAAACAAGAAAGAACAATGCTTTGTCAACACACTGCCAGCATGCTGCTGCTGCGTTTGATTGTGTGTATGCATGTGTTCTTTACTTTGGTCGCAAACAATATGTGACTTACTTTACTTTAGTTATTTTATGCGCCTGCTTATATGCTGCTTAGCTTGTTTATATACAGCTAAGTATATATGTATTTGGCTTACTGTTTTGTTGTTTTTGCATTGTTGTTGTAAATTTTGACTTTAAGTATCGCTTCGTATTTGTGTTGTTGTTGCATTTGCTTTAGTGTAGCCCTTTGTTATGTGCTCGTGTGGGGCATATACATATATTTGTCTAATTCAACAGCAACAGCCAACAATCAAGGAACAATGAGCAGCCGACAGTCGACAGCTTAAAGAACGTTGGCTGGCATTCATAAACCGCACAATTTGTGTAGCTTTCTGTTGTTTTGCCATCAAAGTTTTTATTATATTTGTCCGACAGAGGGCAAAATGGCGCATTTAACTTTTGTGTGTGTAACGCATTTACTTGTAGAAGTTTAATAAGAGGCCGGAGAGGATGCTGTTTGTAGACGAGTCTCTATGGAGAAAACAGGACATCGTATAAGAATAGAATGCAAGAAAAAGACCCTTTGCGGTCGTGCTGACTGGTCACTATTTTTTGTCTATGTGTACTCTCTTCATGTGAGAAACTGACTAAGCGACTTAACAATAACCAGTCAGAAAAGCGACCTTTTCGAAAGTCCCGTGAAATTTGTATTAAGCTTTAGTAGTAGCTCTATAGCACCTGACTCTAGACTGCATAGCAATCTGCAGACGTAAGTTTATGGCCTTTTGATCTATATATGCGAATAGGGCCTTTGTGAGTGCGTGTAAACGAGGGGAGGACAAAATACACCTTAGTGTAGTCGCAATGCAAGCTTCCATTTATTTCTATTTTATTCTATTCCTTATTATGGTCCATAGATATTCCCAGGAGAAAGTACATTCATGTATTAACTTTCTAACTTCAGTTACAGAATTTTCCATATTTTGATTGAAAATCATTTACAGTAACCGAAACAGTCAACCAGTGCCTCTCAGATTTAGAAAACTAAATCTAGCAGTAGAATCATACGCACATTCATGGAATGTCGAATTACTTAATTAGTAGTTCAGAATGTCTAAATATTTGATCATGAATCTCGAAATCGAACAACCCCTTCGAAATATCTCACTGTTAATGTCCCTATTTTGACACAAAGATAACAAAGATATGACTTAAAGAATATAATATCCCGTCGAAGAGAGAAAGACGAATAATCTATACACCATTATCGATAAGTACAAACTGCTCAGCTCTTGAGAAAACGATTCTCTTAGATGAACATCGCCTTCATTGATAGTATAGAGTGTCTCTGACTGAGCTGTGAGCTTTGAGTTCTTTAAAAATATAGATGTTCTAAAGATATCTGTTCGGCAACACCGATTTGATTGATAAGCAGTAGTCTTTATATCTTCGCACATATATATATAGAAACGAAAGTAACCCCAGGATTCGCTATAAATTTCAGAGGAGTCATCGTTCAGAGAAGCCTCTGCTTACATTTATTAAAAAACATTCCTACTCTGTCGGAAGTATGACGTTAAAAAGTCGTCTAATCTGAGTCCAGCGGATCTAAAGTATTTTGCTTTACTTTATTGTCAGTATACAGCTGGTTATCTGCATAATTCGCAACATAGCTCCACGGAAACCTCCAAACATTATATTAACTCAGCCTTTTAATGAAGGTTGTTGCGTAGCGTAACATAGTATTCGCTAAAAGTCTAGATGGAAGCTTAAATTTTTGCTTGGAGCGAATGCCAGTGATTCAAATCGAACTCAGAACTCTATGTTCGAGCTGCTCTATTTCACTAATTATTAGTTTTCCTTTGTTCAAACGTTCCAACTGGGTACGAACTCATATCCTGCCATGAAAAATTAACTGTTAACGTCTAATACATTGGCATATTGCATATTTAAGTGCCCTTAACACATCAATTTAATTTTATAACCCCAAGTGACCCACTTGTATTAAGTGAAATGAAATTTTTTATCATTGCAACATATGCATAATAACTTTCGCCGAGGTATTTAGAACATTCCTTTATACTCGCAGTGCGGAGGATTCTCTAATTAAATTGTTCCTAAATTGACGAGGTGAATTGGTGATGAAAAATGTAAGACACCAAGCCATAAATCTCCAGCAGCTGTACCATACAATAGAAACAAATACGGTAAATAATAACAAACGTATGACAATTATAAAAAGCAACAACAAAAATAAGGCTAACCACGGCCGTATGATATGCGTCAGTTGTCGCTGTCAGGCGCTCGCGCATTTGTCATTAAGCCAAATGTCATTTGTACTCGTATTTATTTATGCGCTGTGTAAACTAACAGTACATTTATGTACACATATGGTGGATACATTTATCTGTTGGTGTATATAATAAGTCTTCAGTTAAGCATATTCCCTTTCATATCATTTGAATTGATCAAAAACACTGGAAAAAAAACACTGTGCGGTCATTAAAAAATAATTTGACTGAGCTCATTCTCTAAAGTGAGGTTATGTCCTGAAGTCAGCACTTGACAAGAGATAAATCATATCATCAAAACTGTAATTATATAAAACAGAGATACAACTTCAAACAGTATTTTTTTACTTATCAGTAGTCAGCACGATTAGACTTTGCAAAAAATCGTATACACGTTTCCAACGAAGAATCTGTTATCGGTGATATGCCACAAATACAGATCTTGGACAGATTTTCAGCAGCTCGTGAATACTATAGAAAGTTTAATTTATAAATATCTAGATTCCAGCGTATGCAAAATTTCGTACTATGCTATCTAAGATAAGTCTTCGAATGACTGCTTTGCAGAGTGTATTAAACACATTTATATTTATATTTCTCCGCAACGAATTGGCAAGTTTCCTGAACCTTTGTTGGATGGTATCGATAGTTATATAACTGGACTTCTGTATATTATAACAACAACAGTAAAAATAATAAGTAAGGTACCACAGATCTTCTGCGATTTAACTCATTTCATTAAGCTACATTTTGTTGCACAGTGTAACTGCTGGCTCTTTACGAAATTCCTTGCTAATACTCATATAGGTATTATATGTAACGTTCCTTAAAGAGCACATAACATATAGTTGGCGTTGATTAATTAGCTATAAGTCTCTGTGTGTGTGTGTGTTCAAGTAAGGGGTTTAAGACCCTGCTGGTTAAGTATAATGAGCGTGCACGCAATTTCGATGATTATACTGACATATACATACATACATATCCACATAAATAACCTTACGTATGTGTTAGAAAAGCATACAAAAGTACGACTAAACAAATATTGAAGCACAAGTAATTGGCATTATGCACAACTTGACATGATAGTTGACAGTTGACAGTAGAGCGAATATTATCATAATGCACACACGCAAATGTAAACATGTCATTATTTATTTGTGTTTATGCGCTCTTCTTCATTGATGGCGCCCCTCACCCAGCGTTTGTCTTTTTATGTACTAAATTTTCCAACAACATTTGAGCAGCGATTCGCTTTACGGTGGGTCACATATTGTTGTGACTGCTGAAGGATATAGAGCATCAAATCTCCCTCTCTTCTAGCCTTGACTTAAGTTTTGATATGGGTACATTAATCAAACTTCCCTAACTTTGGCCTAAGCTTTAATACCAATCCTACAACTTCTTCTACTATTTCTTGCTGAGTTTGAGTAGATCAGATGCGTATGGTACTTAGCTCGACGCTCCACCTTACCTTTGACAAATTTATCTCTAAAATTTATTTCATTCAAAGTGAAGAGTGAAAAATGGTTACCGTTTCTCTGTACGACATTCCTTCTCATTGCAACTGCTGGCTTGCATAGAAACGAAATTTCATCTCTGTTAGTTATCTCCTTGAAAAATGATTTCACAGATAATATAAGTGATGCTCTTTGCAGTGCTCTCTTTGCTCTTTGACTTTACCAACTGTACTCTCTCTTTTCTCGTATTGCTGCTCACCTTATTTTCACGCTGGGATCGCTCAAGCTTGATAACTGTCGACTTTGGAGAGAGTTTCAGAGAATGCAAAACAACTCGAGAGGCACGAAGGGTTTATTTTTTGAAAATTACTTTGAAAGTCCTGATCACTAAGATTACTGAGAAAGTGGCAGAAAATTAAAAACAGGATCTCGAGGTTTGAAGGGCTTACTTTCAAAGATCTGGAGAGATAATCTAGCTACTCGATTCTATTGGCTCTTTATATTTTACGCTTCCGATATTGGTATTGTCAATTATTCTGCAGACTGATCTTTTCAGCTATGACACCATAAATGTCTTTCTTATTTGCCTTGATTTTGAAAACTTATTTTCTCTCTTCTTTCTTCTGTGCGGTTACATCCGAACTTAACTTCTTTAAAAATATTTATATATCTTTTGCTCAATTTTTAGCTAATTTTTTTGAAAGCTAACACATTTATTTATTTTTGTAAATTTTGTAGTTAAATTTTTAGTTAGTTACCTTTTTTAGAATATTTAAAATTTTTATTTTTTTTTTAAATTTTCTATAATTTTTTAATAAAATTTTTTAGGAAAATTGATATTTTTTCTGGGTTCTGAGACATGACACGCTAACTGTAATTTATTTTTTCTTTAACAAAGTTTCGTGTTCACACAAATTTGTGATTTTGAGCTTTTTTGCAAGCAATTTCGAGTAAAACTAGTGTCTAAGATTCATAATTTTAGTAACCGCATTATTGGCAAAACACTCGCAAAAGTTTTCAAAACTTTCGCTCATACTTTATCACGCAACTCACGCACCCAGTGCCACGCGTATGCCCTTGCTTACATAAGATTTGTTTACATATATGTTTGCAAGTGTGTGCGTGCATTACATTAAGCTGGTGTAAATAGAAAATACTGCAACTATAAAATAAACTGTCAGTATTTATGAAAATACTGGCGCAACAATGTGGCTGTTGGTGGGTGTAGCGCGGTGCGCTCAGCGCTGAATGATATAACGAAATTTGACAAAATTTCATGCGGTTTTACGCTGCCATTATGTATGGCTGTGTGTGTGCGCAGTAAACAAATACAAATTCTCAAAGCTTTCACACCTTCAGCATTCTGCGCGATGCATGGCAGCCCTAAAATCAACAACAACAACAGCAATATTGCCAATATTTGCAACACTTCTACAACTCGCTGGCAACAATGTTGACCTATTTGTTGTTTTTAGTGCTTTTGTATGGCAATGCTCATAACTTTTAACAAAAATTTATTAGAAACAATTGTTTGTTATGTTGCATATACACAGGCGCTCAAACCGCTATACATAAATATTATGCAACAGCGAGTTGCATAGTTTTACATAAATTTCTTGCATAAGTGTGTGTGTATTGTGGCTGTTGGGGTGTGGTTGTAACTGTAGTTGTGACTCCGCGGCTCAATTGTTCCTACAGTGAGTCGGTGAGAGCGTCAGTGAGTGAGTTGAAATTGTAAAAAAGTATCACAAGCAAAATACACCAATTAGTGTCAGAATTTTTTGCCGGTAATGGCGCAGTGGTTGCATAAAAACAATACACATAATAAATTTTCACTTCCAATCCGTTAATTTTAAACGAAATATGAAAACAAAAAGTTTCCAGTCAATATCTGATATTAATCATTTTGGATTTACATACATATGTACATATATGGCTTAAGAACCTTTAAAATAAATTATTTTTTCGAAAACAAAAGATAATAAAAAAACGTAGACTTCAAATACAAAAGATTTCTTATAAGAACACTATATGCGATAATGTTTCCTGACTTTTCGTTTTGGGTGTTACAAACTTCGTTCACAAATTTTCAAATATAAAAGTATTCCAATCCATGAACATGGCTAAATGGACTAGGCTCGTTACGCTGATAATTTATTTATGTCAGAGTGTCTCCGAAGTTTCTTTTTAAGTGTTACAGACTTCGTACCAAACTTATTATACCCTGTTCAGGGTATAATTAGAATGAGACATTTTAGATCTAGATCAGAGCAAAATGCAATCAATGCTACATTGAAAACAAAATCCTATCGATCGATTTTATTTTCTTATCTTTCAAAATATAGGTGCTGAAATATATAACCCGTCCTCAAGAAACGAATCTACGCTATCTGCATAGCCTCATTTGATTTTAGACAAAATATGCCTCTGGAACAACCTTTTTCCCAGATAGTCTACATATGAAAAATACCCGGGTAAAAGTGAGTTTGTGGTAAGGCGGTAGTATAGTGTATATGATATATTTCAAAAAGCACTAAAGTTTATCGTACTCAATACCGAAAATGCAAGAAGTGAAATTAGCGCAAATTAAGGTTTTGGAAAAATTTCTACAATAAATATGTATTTTATACAAGACGGTAGAGTTAAAAGATTAAAAACCCTTTTGCCTTAATCCTAAAAATATGCTATAGGGAAAAATATTTGAAATATATAAAGTTTGTTAACAGCAACCCTTAAAGTTTGCTATATGGGTTCAAGAGATGGTAAGGGAGTTGCTCTTACATATTTAAAAGGCCGTAATTTAACGCAATATGGAGCAAAACTTGCTTCTGGATTTCAAAACACAAGAGAAATTTGGTTAGTACTTAGACTAAATATATGTATTTTAATATAAGGTATTAATAGTAAAACACTAAAATCTCTTTTGCATAATTTCGAAAGGCATGCCACAGCGAAATATGTTAAACTCTTTTTACCAGCTAACCAAAACAAGCAAAAGTATGCTACACAGTTTCAGAAGATAGTAGTGGAGTTGCTCTCATTTACCTTTGGATCCATGTGTTCGAATAGGGATCACATCGTTGCCAGCGAGCAGCATATTGGAATTTCTCAATATGCTCGGGCTATGTGAGCCGTTGTGACAGAGGGGAGGGCACAATAGACTTTAGGTCGCGGTGCAAACCTTATATATTATCTATTTATCTATCTGCTCTCATTTATATGGACATAGTTGAAGAGAATTTTGAAGAAAATTGAAGTGGGTCAAGCGAAATTTAGTTAGTATTCGCACTAAGTGCGACTGGTTGGTGGATGAGTCTTGATATGTATGTTGAAAAACTATAAAAATAATAAGCCTAAACTAAGATGCTAATAAATTTTGTAAATTATTTCAGTTTTTATGGAATATTTTGTAAACAAAGAACATTTCATTATACTGGGAGCTCAATCACAAAACACAGTATTTTACTATTTGTACTACTTTCAAAAGAATTAAAATTTGGAAAACGGAAAAAATTAATAAATGTTTATTTACATAAAAATTAACATAAAATAATTCTGAAATTTAGTTTTTTCGACACAAAATACACCATGCAAATGCGTAAACATTTTTGCAAGCGAACAGTCAAAATAAATATTTACACATTATTTACATATATCCGTATATACATATAAACATTTTCAAGTAAATAATTTAAATACGTACAAAAAAGTATTCGATTTCCGTTCTAAATTTGCTCAAAATTGATTGAATTTGTAAACACTTGTAAAAATTGTAAATAAATGTTATAATTTTTGTAATTTTCCTATACCATTAAAACAGAAAGAAATTTAAAAATAAATAAGAAAAAAGCTTAAAAATAATTTAGTAAGAGATTTTAAAAATAATTTTGTAATAAATGGAAAAGTAAAGATAAGAAATTCAAAAATTAAAAATAGATTGAAAGTAAATAAAATTGGCGAGTTGATTAATTTTCGACAATTTGTGCCAAGCAACAACTTTAATCGATGCACATATTTTGCAACAATTCAGCTGGAAAAATATGTGCTATAAAAAAACATTTTTAAATATTTGATTTCGACGTAGTGACTTTACAAGCGCTAAAACTTGTCAGAGTGTGTAAACACAATTTTTGCAAACAAAAACAAAAGTGTGAAATAGAAATTGAAAAAAAATATATAAATAAAATTTCCAATTCAATTTTCAGCTCAAATGACTTGAAAGTAAATTAGTAAGAAGCCAAGAGAAAAGAGAAAAGAATCATATGACATATGTGAAATTAATTACATAAATGCGATGTGATGTAATTGAAAACATCTGTTCGAAGAATAAAAACAAAAAAAGGATATAATGCATATAAATGAAATGTGGTGTAACTCGTATAATGAGTTGACGTTTTAAAAATTTTCAAATGCGTTAGTGACGTGAGTGTGTCATGTGATTTCGGCGATGTGATTGATCTATAATCATAAGTTGTGGAATATTTTAAAGCATATGTAATTGGTAAACATGATGTGATTGAACTACATTCATTTTATATTAACACAGAAAAGTGTGGCAATGTAGTTGCGATGTGATTGTGATGCGATTGATCAAAAGTCAACATTTGGTGGAATATATTTCAGCAAAAGTTTTAATATTAGTAATTGCAGTATGATGCGTGATATTTAAAAATCATTTAATGTTTGGTCATTTGACACGAAATCTTGTGAGTATTTCTAAATCATGTGATTGATCTAAATATGTCATCAGCAATTAAAATATATTTTACAAAAAACTCCTACTTAGTTGATAGTAGTAGAATAGTATGATCACATATAACATTGGAACACTGTGTCGACATCATGTAAGGCTTTTTGTATCATAAGGCTGGTAATAAAAATGTCAGTCAGCGAAATATATTTTAGAAACGGCAAATTATAATTGAGTGGATGAGCGGCAATTGAGTGCGATTGTAAAATTCAAAATATTATATGTGATCGACATCACCTGATGTCATTCTATATCACGCGATTGGTCTACATAAATAAGCAGTTATTAAAATATATTCCTGAAAAAGTTTCTGAACAGAAGATATCATATTAGGTAAGATATTTGAAATTTAGACGCATTATCGACATCATGTGATGATTCTTATATCATGATATTGCACAACAAATTAATAAAAATATAATACAAGTATATATACTTAATGTATATAATATAAATATTTGTATATACCAGATTTAAGCTAGTTTACATATACTTATCAAATTTTACTTCAATATTGCAATCTGAACCTGTTTTTCTTAATTGAAATCTCGACTTGACATCGCGTGATGCCATGTATGCAATATACAATACATGATAAGCAAAATATGGGTAATGTAACTTAATTTTTTAATAAGATCTGAAAATTTTTTTTAAAACTATTTCAACACATCACACACAGTATAAAAATTGAAAAAGAGGTTATTTGTTTCTGAAATGATGTGATGTCATATCATACTTGGTTCACGCAAGACCGGGACACGATATGGACAAAAAATAAATAAATATGATGTAACTATTATTAGTTGAAACAAGTAAACTAGAAACAGAAACTTTAAGAAAAAGTTATAGTGTTATAACTTCACCATATTGATATTATAAGGTTATTAATTGATATGAAAGATACTTATATTATTTTTCAAATATTTTGATATTATGATATAATGACGTGATATATTACATGTAATGTGATGTTATCACATGATGTTATTAATGAGGTTTGGGCTTTAATTTGAATTTTGATTTCGAAAGCTTATTTACCTTCGAATTCGAACCAACACAATGCAAAAACTTTTATATTGGTAGAGCAAATATTATTTATGAACTAAAAGAAATGAGAATCAGATATTCATCAATTTCCCTTTCTCTGTTTTCAGCGCACTATACACAATCATATCTCAAATCAGAACACCACAATAAATCAAGTGCCTTAGCAACATGTTGCAGCAACAAAAATATATATTTTTATAAATATTTACAAGTCAACATCTGTTTTCGGTGAAATTTTGCAAAATCGATAAAAATCACCACACATTAAACTACAAATTTAAAAAAGAGAACATAGATCCACACAAAATATATACACGCTAAAACAACAAACCAAGCACGCACGCACGCAACATTTTATGGAACACACAAATATTTTGAATTGCAATGATGTTCAGCTCCGCGGATGTGGCCGCAGTGCGTCATGTGGTGCAACGCATATTGGTGCCATGCGTGTTTGTAATTGGATTGTTGGGCAACTCCGTGAGCATTTATGTGCTGACAAGGTGAGTGCAACAAGCATAATTTGAGGCACTAGCATTGCTGAGGGTAATTTTTTGGTAGTAATAATATTTAAAAAATGCACTCACTTCTTGTAGTACCACAAATCGATTTAAATTTTAAATATTTTTTGAATTTTTAATTTATATAAATATTTATTATTGTATTGTGTTTTAAAAATATTTTGCATATCAAAAATTATCACTACTTTGTTTGCTTATATGTTTTTTTTGCTGAAAACATTTCTTCTTAGTATTTAAAAATTTAAAAATTTCCTTCAATTAATATTTTAAAAATGCTTTACTATGTTTGATTATACGTTTTTTTGCTGAATATATTTTTTTAAATATATATTTGAAAAAGTAAAAAAAATTTCATTCTGGATGATAATTTTTTCCAATAATTATTAATTAAAATTTCATTAAATTTTCGAAAGTAACGCATTAATAATTTTTTATAATTTTTTCGGCATATCTTTATGAAACAAAATAATTTTTCAGTAATTTCGAATAATTTAGAAATATATATAAATCCAAAATTTTGAAAAAATGTTATATAACTATTTTTCCAAAAATTTAAATTACTAATAAAGGTTTTCTTAAAATAATTTTTTTTGAACTAATTGCAATTTTTTCTTTGCTAAAAACATATTTTTCGTAATATATAATAAATGTTATAAAAAACTAAATACATTTCTGATGGCAATTTTTGTAACTCAAATGTTGAAAAATCAATAATTTAAAAAAAAAAAAAAATTCCATAGCATTAATAATTTTATCTACATGATTTATATCAAACTAAAAATCTATGTAATGTCAAAAGCACAAAAAGTAAAATTTTCTAAATTAAATTTTTTTTAAATTAATTACAATTAAGAATAAAATAAAATTTTTAAATAAAAAAAAAAAATTTTTTAAATAAATTACATGTAAAGAAAAAATTAATATTTTAAATAGTTTGAATTGTTCTGAAATAATTAATTTTAAATTTCAGAAATTAGAAAAGCTGTATCAATATTTGTATATTTACTTTTTAAACAATTTCAATTGCTGAATTTTGCATACGTTAAAGTTCTAAATAAGTTTTTTCGAATATTAATTTTTTTAATATTTTTTTTAAATAAATACAGATTTATTTTTAACTTTTTCAGATCTAAGTTTTTTAAATCTTAGTTAGTTCTAATTCATTTTAAATTTCAACTATTTTGCAATATTTAGAAAACGCATGCGTTGCACAACAAATATTTATCTCACCGCGCTCGCCATCACCGATATTATTTACCTCACCATGGCATTGCTTCTATCACTCCAACACTATGACTATGTGCAGCGGAATGTGGAAATCTTTTGGAAATGTTATGGTTATGCGGTTTGGCTTTGTGATGCCTGTGGTAAGTGCTTGTGGAATTCGCGAATAGAAATTTTAAATGCAATTGAGAGAGTGGAGAACAGCTAGAGAAAGGATGTAGCTGTGTGGAACAGCATTTTTTTTAGGAAGCCGAGAGCCAAAAATATTACTGCAGCACTAGTTTATTAGAAATATGGTTTGACAATAGACAGCTGACTACTGACAGGGCTTGCGGTATTTATTAGAAGAGCAGAAGGTCTAGAGACTGAGCATCTGACAAAGTATAGCGGATTTTAAGACTGCTCTGCGTCTGCAAAAGATCCTCAGAGCTGAGATAATCATAAGAAGTCGAAAAAACCAGTTTGATAATTCGTTTAGTAACTGGACACTCATAGGGCAGTCTCTACCACAGCATTTTATTAGCTTATACATTTAACGAATGAGCCGAAAAGTCTTCGTATGCGATAAAACTCTATTTATAGTAACGCAATTAAGCAGATCCCATTTTTTTTCAAGAATTACAATTTAATTAGCGCTCAGTTACAAATAGCTGTCTCTGCATCGACGCAAATGCCTGCGAGGCTTACCAATGCAGTGTTGCATATTGTTCATTTCAGAAGTGCTACAAGTGAATTGATTGAGGCGCCGAAAACCAATTTGAGTTACGCACTCATTTGCTTTTATTTTACGCTCTCTCTCCTTTAACAGCGTTAACGCACGCACCACACGCTTGTGTCTTAATAACTTAATATGTACTTTTCTCTTCGTTCTTTCTCTTTTCCTATATATCATCTGGGTCCTTCGGCATTGCATGGCGTATCAACTGTCAATTTTACTATGCGGCGCGTGTTGTTATTGTAGCGTACATTTCCATTTACATAGCTGTGTGTTTTACGATCGAACGATTTATTGCGATACGTTACCCGCTTAAACGACAGACATTCTGCACGGAATCGTTGGCAAAGAAAGTCATTACAGGTGAGTTTAAACGAGCATGTATGGGAATACGTTATTCACCGAACTAGAGATGTGCATTTGCAGGTGATGAGTAATGGTAATTTTATGTATTGACTTATCGATAACTGAAGCGAATTACTTTAAAACTTTATGTTTAGAATTGAGAACTAAATGCTTTATTGTGAAAATAATTAATGATCTACCGATAATATGGAATTAATTGTGCAATAGATGTTTGTTTATCGATTTATCGATAATGGGAGAAAAGTAGTTACAAAAATTACCTTAAGCATTGCTACATAATTAATTATTGACCATATTTCCAAAATTGATTATTTATGTTATCGATAAATGCATTTATGTTTGAAAAATATTTCTGAATACTAAATTTGTAACTGAATTTAAAAACAGTAAATTGATTTCATTTAATATTGACGATTTTAAGATACGTTTATTAATGTTATCGATAACTAAATTTATATTTAAAAAATATCGCTGATTAATGAAGTTGTACAGGAATTTAAAATAATAACCTGATATTTTAATATTGACTATTTGGATATTCGTTGTTTTATGATATTGATAACTAAAGTTATATTCAAAATATATCACCAAAAATGTAACCGAATTTACAAGTGTTAAATTAATTCTCTAATATTAACGAATTCCAAATTCGATTATTTATGTTAACGATAAATACATTTATATTTCAAATATATTGCACATCACTAAATTTATAACTCAATTGGATTACGTGTTTAACTGTTTTGTATGCATTTATGCATATTACATGTCGGTAAAATTGTGCAAAGCACCAACAACATATGACAGTGGGTACCAAAATTAATGTAACACGAAATATACGAGTCAACATGCTTGCTCTACTCAATTTGCAACTACTCCATAACTGCAAGTGTAATATGCTGCTGTCAGAGTGCCCACAATTTGACCCGTTTTTGTTGTTGGTCACTTGTCACTTGAACGCCGAAAATGTTCATATATTTTTCATACGCTTACCTTTGACATACCGTCGTGTTTTCTTTACTCCCACATGCACACGACACGTACGAAACATGATGCATACCAACAATAACAAACAACAAAACAAAAATAAAAACCACACATGCACCTAACACGACAAAAAATCAAGGAGTCGCACTCTTCTGCCTCTTCTCCACAATTTCCACAGCTTTCGAACATCAGTATCGCATCACTAAGAAATCAATTGATATCCATGGCGTTGCGTGTAATATAACGCAAGCGAACGCGCCAGAGCGGCTCTCATTGCTACAACTGAATTACAACGAAAGTGTTCGACAACAACAACAGCAAGAAGAAGCAGGCCGCACGAAAAAACAAGACGACACACTACATTTACCATTGCAGCACTATATGGCACTGCCAAAATCGACAGCAACGACAGCGCCACATCTCGATTTCGAAGGCAGCGGTCAGGCGGCTGCGGATGAACGCACAGAGCACACAGCTCATCACTGGCAGACACGGGCTGTAGACTCAGCAACTGGGACAGTAGTGCGCAAAAAGGACAATTTGCACCGCAGTAATGTAGGCGACACGGTGAGTAACGTGTGGAAGTCTAAACCGGATGTAATATTGCGTAGATTGAAACGTACAGTGGAGCCGAACAAGGCAGCGACCACCACAGGCAGCACACAAGCACCTTTGCCACGTTCTTTGGCTATGCCTTCACCAATCGCACTAAGAACTGCAGCGCCATTGCCGGCAATGCATGAGTGGACCGCGCTGGCAGAAGCAGCATCAGCAGTCACATCGAACGACGCGCAATTGAAAGGTGAGTAATATGGGCACTTTAGGACTGAGCGTAAGGCATGTTTCGATCGGTTAGTGAGGTAGTTGGGTGCAAAGTGTATAAATGTGTTGTGCAGCGATTGCTTACGGAAAGGTTGCATCGGGAGCTTAAAGTGGGTTTTTTACGCTTGAATACCCGACAACGATTGGGTGGTAAATTGAGAGTATGAACATGTGGAACACCCCAGATACTAAGGTGTACAGAGTGAAGTAGTTATAAATTTAAGTTATAATAGGGAACTTCAGCTTTGGAACCGCGTAATGTAGTTTTTGTGGGATGTTGGATATATAGAGTGGGCCTTAGTAGAAACAGTAGCTCTTATAAACCAGTGAAACGAGCATTTATAGTTGAGATTGCAATCATGAACTACCAATTATTGCAAAAAGCTTATAAGAATTTCTGTTACTTTGTAAAGTCGTTAAGTTCTGAAGTAAACTTCCTTCTGGGAAACTGAGCTCAGACTTTCTAACCTTTCCCTTTTTTCATGATTTTCAATAGCAAAGCAAATTATATCGAGGACTGCGAAAATTTGTATATCCATATATTTGGCCTTAAAATTTTAATACCGTTTGTATTTTCGCCCCAATAAAGTATAGAAAATGAATGGCATCGAGTTAAATTACAGAACTTTCCGCACTAACTGGTCCAAAAGTTTTGATTTCCTAAATGTTTTAGGAGCTACGGTGGATAGCTGGGTCTGTTTAAGATTTTTGGGTACAGATTGTTTTGCTGCCGACTTCGCCAGCAATGTTAATTAAACTTTGAACTATATTTCCCCACTTAAAACATTTCGACTTAAGAATACACTTAGAGTTTAGTTTCTTATAAGGCACTTCCGTTTTTGTACTGATCTTATTTCCAACTCATCTATACAAGTTTACAGTTAACAAATTACGTCTTCCGTTTAGTCTCCCGAGGTACGATTATGAAGAGAGCACTCTCTGCGGCGGCTGATAGAAACATTCCTCGAATTATGTTAAACTACTACTCACTGGATAGTCGTGCCGATCTGCTATTGGATACAGAATTCTTAGTAAGTGCAGCAACGCCGCCAACAGAGAATGCAGACGAAGGTGAACCGACAATAGAAGACACAGATAGAATAGCTAAGCAAGAGCCAAGCTATGGAAAATTTACCGGCGCCGGTGTTTGGGCTGCTAACGCGCAGTCGACACATGAAAAACAAGATGCCGAAACACTTTTCTTCAACATAACGGATTACTGCGAGGAAGTGAGTGCTATCACATTTTGGAAATTTCTTTTAAAATTTAAATTTTATTGAAATTTAGGTTATCTACTATCAGAACAGCCAATCGAGCTTGGGCGAAAATGCGCTCTATACACGCCTCTGGTACTTTTTCACCTTATTCGTATTCGTTTTAATACCGTTATGCCTGCTGGCCACCTTCAATTGCTTCCTCATAATGTTGGTGCGACGCTCGAAGAATTTACGCGGCGAAATGACGAATGCGAATAGCATACGACGCTCACGCATGAGCGGTAAAGGGGTGAGTAACAGTTATATTGAAATTCATGCTAAGGTCTTTAATTTCCTGTACTCCTCAAAACGCCAACAGCAACGCAAATCACACACGTCATCCGTTTCGCAGGAGAATCGCATCACCGTTACGCTGATCGCGGTCGTTTTACTCTTCATCATTTGTCAACTGCCATGGGCAATTTATTTAATCGTTTCGGAGAATGTCGATATCGATAACAATCTGCAAGCGATTATTGGTAATATTTTCAATTTTCTCGCTGACATCAATGCGGCAGCAAATTTTTTCTTATATTGCGTACTTTCGGATAAATATCGGAAAACGGTACGCGAACTTATCACAGGTTATAAGTATCGTGCACATGCACGTCACGCGACAGCCAGCACGAGCCTTTACACGAGTACGCATGGCACGCATTCGGTGAATGGCAGTCGCCGCTATCGGCCGACAGCTGCGTCGATAGTCGTCAAGTGAAGCGAGAGAGAGAGTGAGAAAGAGAGCGGTAGCAAATGTGCATGACCTCGTGATGCTTCGTGTCGTACGAATGCTTACTGTATTCTACCTAATTGAAATTGTGTGTTAATTATTGTTGTTGTTGATGTGTGCTACGTTTGCGCAAATTGAATTTGTTAATTTTAATGTAATTTAAATTAGTTAGTAGCATATTTATTAGTTAATCGAATTAATTAAGCAAATTGCTTGGCGCGCGCCATTTAATTAAGTTCGTTAAGTGCATAAGTGACGCTATACATACATACATATACGCATAGATATAGATATACAGTTATATAAATATGTATTTTAAGTGCAACTATATTTCGCGCTAATTAAGTATTGTATTTAAGTTAAGCGATTAGTTATAATTAAGTACATTTATAAGCGAATGAGTCAAAAAATTTTAATTTTAACTATTTTCAAGTAAAATATTTTTATTAATATAAAAATATTCTAAATATTTGTAATAAATATGTATAAAATAAAGAAAATTATATAAATACAATTAATTTAAATTTGTTACTGAATTCGAGAGAGCAATTAATTATTAAATAGAATAGAAGAGAGAGAACGTTACGCTGAAACAAGAAAAATATTTTATTTCGACTACACCGAAGTTATAATACCAATAGTCCGATTCGAAAAATACGTTCGAAAATTATTGTTTCGCCTTGGACAATAATCTATGCCAAATTTCGTAAAGATATCTGGTAAAATAAAAAGGTTTTCCATACAAGGACTTGATTTGAATCGGCCAGTTTCTATGACAGCTATAGGCTATAGTGGTCCAATATCGGCGATTCTGACAAATAAGCTGCTTCTTGAGGCGAAATGGATGTGTATAAAATTTCAAATCGATATGTTCAAAGCAAAAAATTGACTACCGCGCACTAAGACCGATTAGAGAAGTGCCGAGATTTACAGAGAAATAGCCTAATCAATAGTTTTAGGTAGGGAAAACGAGACGAACCCACCCGAACCCGTAACCCGGACACAGTTTGATGATACCGACTGTATATAGCAGAGAATATAAATAAAAAAATATGCAAAACAATTAGAAAAATGAGAACATAAAACTTTTTCCAGAAACCTCATAAAAGCTACGTAATTAAATGAAATGAAATATCGGCAAATAATCAAACAATTCGTACTTTTGAGACATACGAACTGATCCAAAGGCGATATAAACAGAACACGAAATTGAAGTTTTTCGAATATCGGTTGGTTTCGTCATTTATTTAACAGTTTCGTAAAGTAGAGAAAGCTGTGGTCAGGCGAGGAATACTTTTTATAGTGCAACCTTGGATGAAACCTTTGTTTGAAATGATTTTCGGACATAGAAATATAAACCAGTTATGGGGTTCGAAATGTAGACCTAGCATTAGGTCAAAGACTCTAACTTATCTCATACAATTAAGTAAAATTACCTTCCCTGATATATTTTTACAAAAAGAGAATAGTTATTGGGAGTAAAGGTGGTTATGGGGCTTCACATAGACTTTATCTATCCGGCTTGACCTAGATTGAGTTCAAATTTTGAAGAAAAATGAAGCTCGTCCCCGGAAGCTCGGCAATAGCGAATTGAGAAAGATATCTGAAATTCAAAGACAGTCTAAAAATGAGCTAGGCAGTCACTAGTCGATCATAGCTAAGGAACCACATATAAGTATAATGAACCCAAAGACAGTCTAAAAATGCGTTAGGCAGTTGACGGACGGTCAGAACTAACGAAGCGTATATAAAGGATATTCTTAGATTTTTACGAGAGAATGAGGTAATGAAGGAAATTACGACAACTTTAGCAGAAAGTCTTGAACTTCCTTAAGAGTATAAATCAAATAAGATTTCAATGAAAACGTCAAGGCTATCTTGGCTTACACAACGAAACGGAAGATAGTTTTTTCATCGATAAATGAGTCTTATAGGGTTTAAATATTATACCCTCACTAAGCTAAGGTGAAACCACAGTCAGCATAACAGCAAGCAAAATTACTAGCGAATCCCTGAGAGAGTTTCCATTAGATTTTTAGGAATTTTTATTTTACTTATAAATTAATGCGATTGCGATCATATGCGAATAGTTTTAGATCTGGCTACGACAAAATTTTAAAGTACTGAATGCCTTCTTAATTAGAAAGGCCAAGTTGAGAGAAACTTGGTCAAACTTTGTGAATGGAATTGGAACCAACTGTTGAAAGGAGTTGACGGCTTAGACCAAACCATATAGCTGGTTATAGTATATATTATAGCTGTAGGCCTACTTAGCAACTTAAAAGCGTACGTATTTGAGATGTGGTAACCAATAAATCTTAAATACTAGCGACTTGAAAATAAATTCAGGTCAATAAAAGAGTTGTAGTAAACCAAACAGTGTGATTTTGATCCGCTAAATACAACAACAAACAAAAAGTGAATCGTAAATGTGGTCTGAGTTACGTGTCATTGCTACCACAGCTAGCAGGTTTCCTCAAATGCTCGAGAACCGTAAAAATAAAATGCTTCATTAAACGAAAGCCACGTGTAGCTGACGATATTGCCGGTTGAGATGCTTAAGACGAAAGTGGTAAAGCGGACAACGAACCTCAATGCTAGCCAACTTTAAAAATAATTTATAAAGTCAGCGTAAAAAAAAAACTGTTGCACAATTCCATTAACTGTTATGCTGCCACTAGTTCCCCCTACTATGTAGATGGGTGTGAAAAATGTTGTCGCAATTTGAGCCAAAATGAACTCAAATAAGTAGCGACAATGAAATTTGGTAGCAAACTAACAGCAATTGTGTAAAAAAGTTGGCTAAAAAGCATAAAAAGTAGAGCGTTGTTGTTGGACAAAAATGTTAGTGCAAATTGGTAAGTAACTTGTCACTAATGTAATGAAAAAGTAGCGAAATGTGCGAGCTGAAGAGTGTAACTAAATTTTGAAGTTATAAGTTGATAACGCTGTGCGCGCGGAGCCATGAAAAGAGAGACACCTACTCTTTAAAACACTTAAAATGATGAATATAATTTTTAGACATAAAATATTTTGGAAAAGGAGTGAAAAATTAAATGAAGAGCTGTGAAAAAAGAAGTAAATAATGTAATTAAAAGTGGTAGAAAAGTCGGAAAAAAGAAGTAGCATCGCAGAAAAGTCAATAGAAAAATTAAGAAACATATTAAAAGTATCACAAATGGAGCATGTTAACTGAAGTTTTCATTTATACACCATTATTATGAATGTAAGGTAGCAAATAGTAGTAGAAAATTTGAATATATTAAAGTAAAGTGCTGCTGCCAGTAGTATAGCTACAGATATTAAAGCAAAGTACTAATCAAAGTAATTAAATACGTACTAGAAAAAGTAGTAGAAAAGGTAGTAAATATTTGCAACAAAAAAAAACACATGTATTTTAAAGCTAAGAGAAATAATAACTGAATTTATTACATAAACCAAGATTCTATATTTACAAAATATTTTCTACAAAAGATAGCAAACAGTAGTAGAAAAGAACAAGTTGAGCTACAAATAGTTAATCAAAGTTATTAAAAAGGTACTAGAACCAATAGTAGAAAGAATAATCAATAACGAATAAAACTAAAATATTAAAGTTATGGAAAATATGGACATAATTTATTATAGAAACCAAGATTCTATATGCATGAAAACTTTTCTGAAGAGGATAGTAAAAAGTAATAGAAAATTTAAATATATAAAAGTAAAGCCTTTCTGGTGGAAGTATTACAAATACTAGACCAAAATAGTAAATCAAAGTATTTAAAAAGGTAGTAGAAAGAGTTGTAGCAAAGGTAAAAAACAGATACAACGAAAAAAACACTGAAATGTTGAAGTTATCGGCAAAGATAAGTTAAATAAAGCAATTAATAAACAAAATGGTAGCATGTTTATAAAAATAGAACAGGGTGCCATATAAATCACATTAGTCGTATAATATTTAGTAGTGCAATCTTCAATAGTATATCTTCATATCGATTTTTTCACCTTTTGTAGTCAGATGTTAAAAAAAATAAATATGTTGACAGAATAATCTTTTACCGATCAATGGAAATTTAAACGTGGATCCACTATTTTAAGCTGCTTCCAAGGAAAAAATGTTTGATGTAGATTTCAGATATTAAATATGTTGACAAAAATTAATGAAATATAGATCTACAAAAATTTAAAAAATTATAAAAAAAAATTATTTGAATTGTGATGAATTTGAATCAGATATTCGTCGGCCTTTTTCTACAAGAAAAATAGTTAGACAGACAGCAGAAATGGAGAGTTAAGATAGTGACACCTCGCTATCTTTCGGACAGCTACGATAGTGCAGATCAAACAAAATATTCAGTCTTACTAAATTGGTACCCAGTTATCGATAAATCGATAGTTAATCCAACAGGTTCAAAGAATTCAAGTTTTTTCGCGTTTTTCGGAAGAAGAACAAAGGCTAAAACTTGAAAAACTCACTTTTATTTTCTTTTAAAAGCGTGCGCATAACTGAAAGTAAACTTTAAGCGAGCTTACATAAAGCTTTCACAGAGTGACCATAGTTTGATAATTTCGGAGGAGTTCTTCCAATGTTTATTCATAAATTCTCAAAATAAGAAAATAGCTCTTTTAACAGATTCTTATCCCTTCTCTCAAATGCTTTGTCAATAATGTGGAACTCGTATATTTAAAACTGTATGCCAAGCAGTTTTCCTAGAGCTTTCACAGAGTTTCTTTATGTCTTGGCAATTTCTCCTCTGATTTTATTTAAAATCTTCGAATATAAAACAATAACTTATATAATAGATTTTTTTTTCTCTTTTTCAAAATGCTTTGTCAATATGTTGAAAGCCGTATGACTAAAGCTGTACTTTAAGCAAGCTTTCATAGAGCATTCACAGAGTTTTTTTTCTTGGTATGTCCGTCTATGATTTTGTGCATAAATTTCGGACGTAAAGTTATAAGCGAGCACCTATCAGAGCTTTAAGTTCTGTTTTAGCTTCTGAAAAGCTCTTCAATGCTTTAATTCTTAATTTTCTAGCCTAAAATACAAAAGTTATGAATACGAGCATTCATTACTCTTACCCTTGCCACTAGAACTGTGCTCATTCAATATCATAACTAACTCTTGCCATGTATTTTTCATGCATAATTTGCGTATTCTGCAAATTTGTAGTCATTAAAAATAAATCTATTTTGTATTCACCATATTTTATGTTCATAAATGGCATACAATTATTATTTAGTCTTCTCATTATCTTTACAACCGTGATTTGCTTGCTTTGCCAAGTTTCTCCTCATATTCCACTTATTTTTCCCGCTATTTTTCTCGTTCTCTATTACATTTTTACATAACCTTAAAACCACTTCGCCACAGCGCGCTTTCCCATCAAACTGATGTATGCAATTAAGCTTGGCGAAA